GTCGGATCAAAGAAGGAGGATCTGAATCAATCTGGCTGCTGCAATCCAAAACCAGGCAAGAACCAGACACGGCGGTAGTCGAGATCGAGTTCTCGGCATGGGCTTTCGCACCGTCAGGAATTCAGGAGCTTCGGAGAAGAACTGAAAACAGCTCAGCGGCCAAAGTGACACGTTCCCTCGAATCGGGAGGTAGGTTGCCAAACAACGAAACTGCTCCGGTTTCTTGTAGATAGTGGGACAGAGTTTCTATATGCTTCAAGCGCATACGCCACAACAATCGACTGATCTCTTCATTGTTGCGATAGGCTTGTATCGCCCCTCCAGCTCTCAATGATGCCGGAGTGAGAGACAATTTCTTAGGAATTCGCAGGACTGCTAACAAAACATCCCAACGACGCCGGAAAGCAGATGGTGAACCTGCAAACAAAGGGGCATCGCGTGGAAGAGGTCCGAAAACTGAATCCAAAAAACCAGACACTTCACAGTTCTGTATTTTTACATGCTGCACTCTGCCAACTCCCCGCCAACGCGACTTGGGCTTTCGGATCAGTAAGAAACAAACCGATGCGCTTTCACAAATCAAATCACGAGGAAGCAAGAGATCACTGCGAACAGCTGCGAGAGGTTCCCCAGGTCTGCAGATGCCTTCATAGGCAAGCACTAAAATCCCCGCAACTCGTCTCCAACCCCACATCAAGGCGACCACGACCATAGCTCGGTAGACTACAAATGGCAGCGGTGTCCTATGTTCACTAGGCTCCAGACGCTCCCACTTTCCGACAAGCTGCCATCCTTTCCCGAGGAAAGGCCGAAAGTCAGGATGCCATCTCTGAATGGCGGCCAAGAGGTGTCGGAACAAGTACAAACTGGAGCCATCTTCAAATAGGTGGCGCCCGAAGGCAACAACAAGTTCAACAAGGGTTTGGGGACACAGGATTAGATTCAGAAAAGCTTCTTCACTCAATTTCTTGAGGCGCCACTGTCGAAAGCGTTCCCAAATCTTAAGACCAAGGAGCTCAGTGCTAGGCTCGACTAAAGTGACCTCGTCGAGCTGGGTGACAGGCCGAGGCCTGAGAGCTCGAATTCTGGGCCCTGGAAGGGAGGCGTCTCCAATCCTGCCAGACTGGCATTTTGCTAGAATGCCCACATCAACCTTCTTTCGCCCGGGTAAGTTGCCCGTATCAATCAAAAGCGCTGTTGCTATCCAGAAGCACAGCGCGCGAGGATAGGTCTGGGCGGCCCGCGTCCATGCCATGCGATGAATGCGAGACCATCCGGATAGTCGTTGGTGGCTGTGGTCTCTCGAGCAAAACAAGTGTTGACCTTTCAGATGGCAGTTCGTGAGAATTCTGGTTCGCTTTCTCCAAGGTGCCCCACATCTACAGTAATCAATCCTGAAGGACTCTTGCTGATTTCTGGCATGAAAGTGTTCCCATTCGGTTTGGAGCCAAAGAAAACTTCCGTCAGGGTTTTCCACCCACCAAATAATGCCCTTGCTCAAAGCAATGGCGACCATGAGGCTTAACCACTGCGAATGATCATTCCCTTGAGCGACAGATTCAGCCATTCGCTCACTGAGACCGCTCACCCCGGCAGGTGATGCTGGTGTGCGAATTTGTGGTCTGACTGCTCTGGAAAAAGATCTGCAAAAAATGGCAGCCCCAAAACAACAAACTGCTTCGGATTCTAAAAGTTCTTGGACAAGTGCTCTGTTGGATTCTTTCCCCAAATCTTGCAGTTCGGAGTCCTCGATCTCAAAAGTAATGCACCACAAATCACCAAGTTCACAGACAGCACGAGCTACTCCTTTACGACCAGAATACAAATCCAGATAACCAGGAAAGTCGGGTATATAGCTTGTAGGAACTTCCCAAGTTTTCGGAAACAGAAATTGCTGCCGACTGACGCGGCGCAAAGCTGTCAGCGCTCGCTCTGAAAGTTGGCGAACTCCACGCGCGCCAGCATCTCTGGGATTTACCTGGGCCGGCAATTTCCGTTCTGGAGAAGTAGGTGAAAGCAGTGTTTTCTGGACCCGGCGCTTGGCTTCTACTTTGTTCTTCATGAAGAAGGCTTTTGACTTACCCCGATGGCCCCAGATAGGTTCAGACTGTGGAGCTCGAAGTTCTTCGAGAGGAGGTAGCCCAGATAGTTGTAACGGTAGGCACTCGTGCTCTGATAACCATGTATCAAACAAAACTAGCCGTTGCCTTTCACCGTCCGGAAATTCTTCAGGGAGCCACTGAAGGGGTTCTTTACAAGGCGCTCGAACTTCACGGTGTCTTGTGGGGTCATCTGCAACATTGTAGGCGCTAGGAACAAAGGCCCCGTTTGAAATAACTCCGCACCCTAAGTGAATAGGAAGAGAATCTTGAAGAATCTGGTTCAACCCGATCGACGACGACCGTCCTTTGATCCATGCTCCTAGGGCTACTTGACTGTCAGCAACATACATCGTCCGATTTGGAAATTGAAAACCAGCAGCGTGTTGCTCAGACTTTGCTAAAGCTTGCAACTCCCCTATGTTTATATGCTGACCAACCTTTGTCTTCTTTCTGAAGTCTTCGTCGAATGGTAATGCGGACAGCAGCTCCAAAAAGAGTGGATGGCCAGGCAGGGTGCTGCCGTCTGGAAGTTCTTCATCAGCTCCCAAACATCCTTGGACTCGTTTCAAAGCTTTCAACGGACTCAGTAAACGAACCCAGGAAGACTTCCGAAGACGATGCCTGTGAACTTCTCCCCGGAGCCAACTAGGTAAGACTGCAGAACACACCCCTAAACCCCAGGAAGAAGCGTCGGAGGCATAGATTCTGTTGTTATTCCGCGCTTTCAGAAAGGTACAAGCCAGCGGGCTGAGAGTCACAAAAAGTAACAACTCACTCTTTAAGTCCTCTGAAAGTTTTAAGACTTGTCGCCGGTTCTCAGCGTGTTGCACAGCGCTGTAACAGAGGTTTACTAAGGAAAGCATCCGTCGCTTGAACAAAAATATCGAAGTCCAAGCGCCCAACAAAACCTCCAGCAGAGAAACCGTAGTGACACCTAGTTTCAGGATTCCTAGAGTGGCGAACAGGATGGGCACCAATCTCTTCAAGTTTGCACGAACATACCCTCTCTGTCCATCAAACAAAGCTCCCCAGAACTCCGCAACAGGCTCTGCTCGAAAAGTCTTTCCTTCATGAGGGTGAAGCCCCAGAGCTTTGTAAGTCTCTAAAGCGTGGTCCAACAAACAGTTTGAACGAAGCTCATCGTGAAGAATATGCAAATCTTGTTGAAGCACTTGCTCAAACAGTATCAAATCATCTATGACTACTCCAAGAAGACTAGGATTCCGTGGCAAGGCTGAGTTCATAAACATCAGATTTGCTTCTTCTAAAAGTCCATGCTGAATCAGTATACCGATGTGGGCCGTTTGGGCTAGTTCTACTGCGCAACTGTCTCCCATGGCCAGTGTCTGGAGGCACAAATACAATGGCTGAGACTCATTCTCGAGCTCAGGTGAATAGCATCTGAACCTCCGAATTTGCCACGGGCGAGCTGTGATCAAGAGGCTATTTCGAATGGTCCGTTCTCTGGTAACTGAAAAAGAATAGTAGAATTCACGCAAATCAGTTCCCCAAGTCAAACAGACCGCTTCTTCAGGCAGTTGCATATCCAACAGGCAAGAAGCTGCGGCCATCGACCCAATCCATCTTCGTGGAGGTTGCTCCAAACAGTTAAACGGTCTAGAATCAAAAATGAGACGATCCCGTTCTGCATCTTTTGGAACACAAAATAGACCCGCTTGGAATCCAGGCAAGACTTCTGAAGCTCGTACCACACCCAGACGTCCTGAAGCATCTAGTTTCTCCAGCAATCGCCACTTTTCGCGTTCCAAAGCGTGCACCTTCACCTGAGGAATTGGGCAAGGACATTCTAGGGGATGAAGAGCACATGACAAAGGTCTCTCAAATATTGCCTGTCCATGAGAATCCAAAAACGGGCTCGGATTGAAGTTTGGCTCTCCTCGAAATTCTAACCTATCAGCTTCGATTTGTTTGGCAACGACGACATCAACCCCGGGCAGTTCACCACAGAATTCACCAGGCGAGACTTTTTGCAAACCAGGTGAGAGTCGGCTTCTTGATGTCTTTACGCGAGGTTGGCCACTGCTATCAGTGAAAAGTTCATCGAAAACAGCAAAAGCTTGAGACTCGAAAGCTCCAAGACGGTAGACTGCCGCTTCGATGTCCTCCACCTTAGCTGCCGTCCGTCCCATAGCCTCGGAGGTAATGGGGGGACAATCCATCCACGCCTTCAAGCAGCCTTCGATCTGATGAACGATCTGCCATTGCTTCTTACCCAACTTTTCAAAGAGCACGATCTCAGGAGGACATGTCTCAGGCCTCCGGAGATGAATCCAGTTCAACGAGGCTACGCAAAGGTTGACACCTCGCTGGAAGGCTCGGTTTTCGTTGAGCGCTGACTTTAAAAAAGCGCCCGGGTAAGGCAGCGGCATAGGCCACATCAAGGCGGTACTCCTCAACTTCGAGGAAGTGGCAGGCTTGCGATGGAACGATCTGAGGAACCCAGCGAAATGTCCACCAAGGTTCCGGATGAAACGAAAAGATGAATTCAACCACTGCTGAGGGCAGACTGTACGGGCATTTGCGCCGGGAACTTTTCGGCGGACTTTCTCGGCCGAAGGTGCGTCATCATGCAATGACTCGGGAGTCGCAGTTTGTTCAAAGGACTCACCAAGAACTTGAGGCTTCTTCTCTTTCACACAGGGCTCTGGCCAGGTTCTTCGCCCTGGTTCTGAGCACTGCTTCCTCTCTGACGGGCCCTGTACTTGCCCTTCCCCTTTCCTTTCTCTTCTTCCTGGTTTTGCTGCGCCAGGCCAGGAGGCGATGGCAACTTGGCTTTCTTTCCTAGCTTGGCTTTCTTTTCTGCAAAGTCGTCGACTTCTTTCACTTTGTGCATCATGGCTTCCATCCATGACGAAGGGAGGAGTCGCGAATGTTGGCATTCGAACGCTTCTGGAGGCACGCGTTTGCCGAAATTGCTCAGAGGAGGGATTCCTCGAGAAGTATCTCTGACCCTAGAATCCAGGAACCTCGATCGCAGGCCACCTGATCTATCGCACTGATCAAGAGAGCAAGTTTGGCCTTTGCTTCTTCCACACGATGCGCTCTCAGACTGTCGAGAGCTCCGCACACAGCCCAGAGCATTCGAACAGTGCCTGGGATGTTGGGCACTCGGCTCCGATGCTCGCACCACCCGCGGAAAGTCGTCTGATGAGCACTGAGACCTGGTGACAACTCGACTAAGCCACAATCTCGAAGCATGTTTTGCTCGACCACTGCAAAGATCTCCTCTGGGCAGTCTTTCATCGCTCGCCGTAATGTGGCGAGCACGGCTGAATGTCTTCGATTCCCAGTGCACGAGGAAGAGGAACTCACCTCGGAGTGGCCTACAAAATCGTCCAATGTGTCTTCCAGAGAACGACCTTTCACTTTCTTGGCTGAAGCGAGGGTCTCCACAATGCTTGTGAGCTTCACTAGAGCAGACTGCATCGGATCCTCTGGCTCGTGCAGGGGAAGCTGACTTTCTGGTTCGTTCACCTCGTCGAGGGGTTCGCCGAGCACATCTACCTTGGCTTTCGCAGTCCGAGGAGCATCCGGAAGATGAGGCCGATGACCAAGCAGCATCTGTCCAAGGGCTTCCAAATGTTGCCGCTCTACCCCGGCCTTCAAAGCAGCCTGGGCAGTGTGAGGATCGACACCTGCTAATCCAGATTCGACGTGGGCTTTTTCTGGAGCCAGATTGGAGCTCTTTGCTGTGTTTCTGGGCGCCGCAGCAGGCTGCGTAGTCTCGACAACAGGGCCCTTCTGGCTCCGCAAGCTCTGGAGGGAGGTGTTGATGTTGAGAATGGCTTCTTCTAACCGAGCGAGCCGATTTCGAGTGTCTTGTTCCACCATTTCGCTCTCGGCGGTCAAGAACGAGTAGCGGTCGTCGGCTAGCTGAGAGAGGGCAAGAGCATAAGGCACAAAACCCAGGGTACCATCTTCTGTGGGGAAGGCTGAGCTCACAGCATCCTGACTCAGCTCGCCAAACACAAGGTTGGATTCCAGCTCTGGTGCCAAAAGTCCCAACCATACTTTGATGAAGATATCGTCAGCTTGGTGGTCTCGCTCGCTCTCAACAACAGCCGAAACTGAAATGGAATTCACCTTGCTGAGGGCACCAGCTGGGAGAAGACGATTCTTCACGGTTCGATGCCAAAACTTGCCTGGAACAGCGACTAGTATCCGAGAATGCACAGCTGCAATGGCAATAACAGGAACAATCAAAGGGCTCCCGTCAGCAGCCTGGAGATTCAAATGACCAATCTGGTACTCAAGCTCCGCACTGCCGTCGTCCAGAACAAGGAAAAAATCTTGAACCGTAGGAGTGCGATCCTGAGGGGGGGGGCGTGAAAGGCTCCCCGTCTAGCTCATCATCCATGTTCGGACTGGAGGCTGAGCACACGTAGCCTCAGGAAGAGCCTGCTTTAAACTAGAAACTTGTAGACAGATTCGGACAAAGGACACTAGGCTGACCTCGAGCACGAGAATTAGATGAATTATAGTGCACACTTGAGAACTGAAGACCTCAGCGCCCCCTGGGAGCCGGAGCTTTCAACCCCTGCAGTCCTTAGTACTAGGCCTTAGAACGACAGACGGTCTGATCTTCTACTTGGCTCGAATCGCCTCGGAAGGCGATGCACTACGAAGTGCGGTAAAGTGGAGGAGCAACAGGTCGATGATGCAAGGCTACCAACTGTCTTCTAATCACTGACACCCACAAGTGCCTGAGGACTAAGAGCAGTTCAAGGATAGGGCCTAAGGCTACACCGATAAGGAGGCCGATCACCAAGGATTTCAGGTCCAAGTCAAATGCGAAGTCTGGAAAGAATGCAGGACACTGACACTCAAAAACCTCAGGAACCTTAGTGATGGGATCAAACGTGTCTGCTAGGATCCTCCAAGCGAGCGACGACAGGGTTCCCGACGCAGCTCCTATAGCTACGGGGCGGTGGGCCATGCACCCGCTTGATCCCAAGAAGCTCGCGGCAGGAATGTGCATGCGAGTCATATATATATACACATAATTATATAAACATTGTTTAAAGGGCACCTTATTGAGATGGCCCCGAATTATGTAGAGGGCCCTGCCCCCTCTTTGTTTCTTCCTGCCGTGTTCAACATTTTGGGATGGCGCCACAGACCGATCTTCCCCATCTGTCACTCAACCAGTGCGTTTCTAGGGTCTAGGGGCACAGAGCAAAGCCTGATTGAAGGCCTTTTTGACTGTGGTTTTGCTGTTGTGGGTCAAGTTGAAAAAGTCGGTGCTCTCAAAGAAGCAAGGGATGCCATCTAAGCCCTTGCAGCCACGCGACTGTGGCTCTACATCATCATCGGAGGGTGGCTGGTCTCCGCTTGATGGCTTCACCATTGCAGGTAGTACCAGTCCACCTCAGCGAGCGCTGCAAGCAAATGCCAATCTTACTTCGGTGCATGGGCCAACCAGAAGAGGATAAAGGGAGGAAGAACATAGCAAATGGAAGAACCATGAGTTGCACCCTTTGCGCTGGCGCTGCACTTTTGTGTTCGTCTACATACATCAAGTGGTCGCCAGTCACCCCTAGTCATACTCATTTAGTCAAGTTTCTACTGATAACCTTTGGATCGCAGCTCAGTTCAAACTTGACATGATGGTATTATATGTCATATATGTTCCAATAGCGGTAGCGGTACTGCGCGACATAGTGTTCTTGTTATGAACACTCACAAGGCAAAGAATGAAAAAGTAAAATATAACATTATTGGTGTATATATATATATATTATATTAATAGCTTCTTTTTAGATGCACTGACACTCCTTGTTTGCTTGAAAGGAAATTCCACCACGTCGCAGCTCCCGCGGGCGTCGCACCTCCCCGCGTCTCACGGGTTTCTGATCCAAGCAGCATTTGCTTTTTGTCTTGGAAGCGAGTGACGACAAGAAGGGCATGGCTATGTCAGCAACCCAAGCCACCCCAAATGCAGGAAGAAGAGGGGGGCAAAAACGGAAGAAACACGAGCTTGTGCAAGTGTGGACAAGCTTGATTCCTTTCGTGGGATGTTTGAAGATTCCAATTGACCATAACTTGTGAAGACAGGAATAAAATCCTTTTTCTTGGAGTTCCACCAAAGCTACGAGTTGGTTGCCTCGCGCCAGGTCTGAAGGGCCTCCAGCCCCGACCCCAGCGGGGCTTGAGCTGCAAGACGACAACGAGACGACACGTGGCATTGGAGGTTCCCGGATTGATCTGAGAAAAATCGTATGACTGGGTGGGATATGTGTGCTGTGTGGAGTGCAAATCTCCAAATCAAAAAGCATCCATGGCAAGAATCAAAAGCGGATTTGCAATGTCTCTGCATGGTTCAATTATATCATGTTTCTAGAAATGAAATGGAAAGAAGCAAACCAGCCCAACTGCCAAATTAATTCTATTGGTATTGTCCCGACACGTTCCGACACTTCGCCTTTCATGAGAATGATGAAAATGAGTCCTAAAAAGAAAAAACATATTGTTGTTGCAATGACAGAGTTTGTGTTGCGCCAGGCAATGCCCCACTCACCAACCCCCTAGGCCCCCGCAGGCCCCCAACCTTTTCCACGTGCACCTAATGTACCAGCCTCGCTTAGGCGAGTGGGAAGCCCTTCGAGGCCCTGGAACCAGGGCTAGCAGAGCACACTTTTGGCCGAGCACAGCTCCGCATGGTGATCAGGAGCCCCTAGTAGCTGCTTGTTACTAGTAGCAAGAATGCTCCTAGTAGCGATACCAGGAGCCCCTAGTAGCGTCCTTGCTCCTAGTAATAAGGCCAGGAGCCCCTACAGTAGTAGCTTCTTGTTCCTCTGCTTGCGCATCAGCTTGCAGACTTGCAGACTCTTTGTAAACTAGAGGAAATCTGATTGACTGATGACTGTCCTCTGCAGAGAGTTTCTTCGGCCCCTCCACCCCCTTCCGCCACCGCGGCTATGTACAAAAGCGGTCGCCGGCGACGGAGCGCCATGTGAGGCTATCGCCTTGAGCCACGAGAAGAAGATCGTTCCACTGGAGGAAGGGAAGAAGAAAGAACCATCTTGGAGAACAGCCATCCTTTCCATCAAAGGATCGATTAATATTATAACATATGATAACTGTAACAGGATTGGCAAATAAATCAACAACTCAAAAGAATGGGAGTGCTTGGCCGTCCTTGGCCCTCGGATCAGGTCATTCCGCTTCCCCTCCTGTGTTCATCTTGGTCTCCGAAGCAAAGGTGCTGGCTCTTTGTCCAAGCACCGCTCCATGTGAGCCATGCGCGGGCGGCGGCGCAGTTCGGGCATGACAAACTGGTATCTCTCAGTTTAACCAGGACTGCAATATACTGCCATCTCGCAGCTGTTGATTAAACGAAAACTTGTCGAACACATGTACGACGCCATGGATTTAACATGGATGACATGGTGGAAAAACGGTGTTTCTTGACATCCTCCTGTTGCAGGCAGAGCTCAGTCGCGACAGGTAGCCGCCCCACAGAACCTGGCGGACTACATTGGAGCGCATGACCAAATCTAAGTTTGCGGACACATTTGGTGGCGGTGTCCGGGTCCATGTTTACGACTCGACACAGATACCGTATATCAGAATATATCTGTTTGAGATTGCAAGGCGTGTACCTGGCACCAAGTGGCCACTACAATGGCTGTGTTGAACATGAAAACGGGGGTAGCAGGGGAAAGCATCTTCGACTCATCTTCAACAGAGTAGAGTAGACTCGAAAGTCTCTCTCCCTATCACATGTACAACAACTCTGCCAAACTATGAAAACTTTAAATACTTAAATGGCTCCAAAAGCCTCCTAAAAGACACCTGCAATGGTTGGCCATGGCCGGCCCTTTCTCCCACCCGCCCACCCTCCACCCTCATCGCTGCCGAAACGAGGCACTTCCTGGGCACTTTCATCGGCGGCAGCGGCTCCCAGGTCCCCGTCGCCGGATCGAAGCGCTCCACCGAGCTCAACGCCGTGGAGGGCGACGCCCCACGGCCGCCGAAGACGCACACCGACCCGCCGGCCGGCACGGCGGCCGCCCCCCAGCGGGGCACCTGGACGGACGGAGGTGGCGGTGGTTTGGGTGAGGAAGCGCTTCCAGGGGGGGGTGGAAGTCAGACCAAATAGTCAGGGAATTCGCCTCATGGAAAGATTTGACCTGCACACTGCCAGTTGGATTCAATCCGCCGCTTAAAATCAAAATGGATTTTTTTGCAGTAGCCCCACCTGCAGGGGTGCCAAGATACTCCAAGCTCTGGTCTCCGGGTCAAAGCGCTCCACACTCCGCAGCCCCGTCTGCCAGGCCCCGTCGCAGCCGCCGGCCACGTAGACCCGGCCGTGCGCCGCCGCGGAGGCGCAACGATAGCGGCGCGCGTGGAGGGAGGGCAAAATCTCCCAGAAACTGGCGGACAGGGCGTATAGGCTAGGCGGTTTGGCGTATAGGTGCCGGTTCGTCTCGGCGTATGGTTCAACTGGTTCGTAGGTCGCCTCAATGGTTGGTAGGTGGATCCTTGGTTGGGATCCTTTGGACATGACAAGAAAACAGCTCTGAAGGGCTACAATGTGTTTAAGAGCAGCGTTTTGCTCGTAAGAGATTCTCTGCAACATGTGTCTGGGATCACGCGTGTTTTGTCCCTCTCCACACCAACTCCCCACGGTTCTGGCCAGTCCCACCACTCTCCCCACCTGTTCTCGTGCTCCAGGCGCTCCACCGAGTCCAGGACACGACCACCGCCCTTGCCTCCAATCACATAGATGCCACCTCCCAAGACACAGGCAGCCGCACCCAGCCTGGAAACCGCTCCCACCGGGACGAAAACTCACGTGGTCTGCACCGGACGGAGTGAATGAGTCAACCAACCCAAGCCTCGGTCATCGGACCACAAACACAACTCAACTGAGAGGGTTGTGCCTGGTTCCTCAAAATGCAATGCTTTTTGCCAAACAACCGGATGTGGACTGGAAAGGTTGGAAAGGCCAACAGACTGCAGGTCCGCGCAGGTCGATCTGTGGCTTTACAGCGCCTCGCCCCCGCCTGGCACTCCGCAAGGAAGCTTGCAGCCGCCAACGCCGGGCCACCGGATCAAAGCCTCTTTTTATAGCTTCTGCAGACAAAGGAAAGGGAGTGTCTGATGGACAGCCGACAAGAATCCTCACTTCTGTGTCGCTTCTCCAACAATCTGGGACACCGCAGTTTATGGTGTAGTCACCTCTAACCAACCACCTATGATCATATCATATCATTTGAATTCATCTGATTCTATTCTGGATGACTTTCGGGATGTCTCGCCAAGAGGATGGCGGGATGTTTCGCCGAGAGGCGCTCGACACTGTCCAGGCATTGAAAGCCATCACGGCCACCGATCACGTAGACCTGGACTCGACCACCGACTTGGTCGGACTCTGCGACTGTCCAAGTCGGACCGGCCCATGGCCGAGCCCTGCCGCCTTTTGAAACCTTTGAGGGAGTGCCATTGCAATGTTGCCGGAGGTGTTTTCTCACATTTTACATCAAGGAAGAGTCAAACGTGAAGCGCACGATTCTCAGGTACGTAGAACGGGTGCATCCATGAAATCTGGATCAATTTCCTGGCACAAAGGAATGGAGACCAGAATCAAGTAAAAGTCAATGACACCACCGTAGACCCCAAAACAGTTTGTGTTTTTAAAAATCGGAACACTCTGCAACTAGAGTTTGCGACGTCCAGAGCTGGGAGACAAAGGATTGCAAGGCAGAGGCGGCCACAGCAGTCCAGAGCTGGGAGACAAATGTAGACGCAGGGAGACAACTGTAAAGGATTGCAAGCGACATGCAGCCCAGAGCTGGGTGACAAATAAAGGATTGCAAGGCAGAGGCGGATACAGCAGTCTAGAGCTGGGAGACAAATGCAAGGGTTTGCGAGGACACATGGAAAGGATTGCAAGGCAGAGGCGGACACAGCAGTCAGAGCTGGGAGACAAATGTGAAATTGAGGATTGCAAGGCAGAGGCGGACACAGCAGCCCAGCACTGCGAGACAAATGTAAAGGATTGCAAGGCAGAGGCGGACACAGCAGCCCAGAGCTGGGAGACAAATGTAAAGGATTGCAAGGCAGAGGCGGACACAGCAGTCCAGAGCTGGGAGACACGGGAGACAAATGACAATGTAAAGGATTGCAAGCGACACGCAGCCCAGAGCTGGGAGACAAATGTAATATTGCAGGGCAGAGCAGCTGGGAGACAAATGAAGACACGGCGGACACAATGACCAACAAGAAGGGGGACAACAAGGGAAACAAGAAGGGAGACAAAAGGAAACAGAAGGGAGACAAGACGGACACAGTGCCCAACAAGAAGGGAGACAAGACCCGAGACAAAGGGAGACAGAAGGGAGACAAGGCGGACACAATGACCAACAAGAAGGGACAAGAAGGGAGACAAGACCGGAGACAAAGGGGGACAAGACCAGAGACAAAAAGAAACAGAAGGAAATAACAGAAGGGAGACAAGACGGACAGAATGATGAACAAGAAGGGAGACAAGAAGGGAGACAAAGGAAACAGAAGGGAGACAAGACGGACACAATGACCCACAAGAAGGGAGACAAGACCAGAGACAAAGAAAGAATGAAACAAGGCGGACACAGTGACCAACAAGAAGGGAGACAAGAAGGGAGACAAAATGAAACAGAAGGGAGACCAGCGGACACAGTGACCAACAAGAAGGGGGACACAGCGACCAACAAGAAGGGAGACCAAGGGAAACAAGGCGGAGGCGGACACGCTGTCCGGCACCAAGGCGGAGACTCTTAGAAAGCACGCCTGTTTGGGGAAGTACAGAAATCACCTGGGAGACAAATGAATAGAAATGCTGGAAAGGGGATAAGGGCGGATGCCAGCAGTGCAGGCACCGAACCTGGGAGACAAAAGTAAAGGAATCACTTTAAGGACAAACGAATTGAATGCTGCATGGCCAGCAGAAATGGGCGGACACCAGCACTGACAGAAAGGCCGGACACATCTTAAGAAAGAATTGAGAAACCCTACGTAGCGGCAAACTGCTTAGGGAATGAATAGAAATGTTGCATCGCCAGCGGAAAAGGGCGGACACCAGCAGTGACACATCTCGGAGACAAATGAACAGAAATGCTACATGGCCAATGGCAAAGGGCGGACACCAGCAGCGACAGACCTGGGAGACAAATGAAAAGAGATGCTACATGGGCCATGTGACAGACCTAGACCTGGGAGACAAATGAATAGAAATGTTGCATCGCCAGCGGAAAAGGGCAGACATCAGCAGTGACAGACCTGGGAGACAAATGAATAGACATGCTACATGGCCAACAGAAAAGAGCTGACACCAGCAGCGGAAAAGGGCGGACACCAGTGACAGCGGACACCAGCAGCAGACAGACCTGGGAGACAAAGGCGGATACCAGCAGCGACAGGCCTGGCAGACAAATGCATTTTCAGCGGAAAAGGGCGGACACCAGCAGGACAGACCTGCGAGAGCAGCGACAGACCTGGGAGACAAATGCATAGAAATGACACTGACAGACCTGGGAGACAAAATGAATAGAAATGCTACATGGCCGGCGGAAAAGGGCGGACACCAGCAGTGACAGACCTGGGAGACAAATGAATAGAAATGCTACATGGCCAGCGGAAAAAGGGGACACCAGCAGTGACAGACCTGGGAGACAAATGAATAGAAATGCTACATGGCCAGCGGAAAAGGGCGGACACCAGCAGTGAATAGAAATGCTACATGGCCAGCGGAAAAGGGCGGACACAAGCAGCGACAAACCCGGGAGACAAATGAATAGAAATGCTACATGGCTAGCGGAAAAAAGCGGACACCAGCAGTGAAAGACCTGGGAGACAATGAATAGAAATGCTACATGGCCAGCGGAAAAGGGCGGACACCAGCAGGGACAAACCTGGGAGACAAATGAATAGAAATGCTACATGGCCAGCGCAAAAGGGCGGACACCAGCAGTGACAGACCTGGGAGACAAATGAATACAAATGCTACATGGCCAGCAGAAAAGGGCGGACACCACATGGCCAGCGGAAAAGGGCGGACACCAGCAGTGACAGACCTGGGAGACAAACGAATAGAAGTGCTACATGGCTAGCAGCAAAGGGCGGACACCAGCAGTGACAGACCTGGGAGACAAATGAATAGAAATGCTATATCGCCAGCGGAAAAGGGCTGACACCAGCAGTGACAGACCTGCGAGACAAATGAATAGAAATGCTACATGGCCAGCGGAAAAGGGCGGACACCAGCAGTGCAGGCACCGATCCTGGGAGACAAAAGTAAAGAAAGCATTTTAAAGACAAACGAATTGAATGCTGCATGGCCAGCGGAAAAGGGCGGACACCACATGGCCAGCGGAAAAGGGCGGACACCAGCAGTGACAGACCTGGGAGACAAACGAATAGAAATGCTACTTGGCCAGCGGAAAAGGGCGGACACCAGGAGTGACAGACCTGGGAGACAAATGAATAGAAATGCTACATGGCCAGCGGGAAAGGGCGGACACAAGCAGTGACACAAAGGGCGGACACATCTTAAGAAAGAATTGAGAACCCCTAACAGTAAACTGTTTGGGGAAAAAGTCTTACACCTGCTCTCTTGCAAACAAAGAGAGCGTGGTAGAGGCATGGCACTGTCAAACGTCTCCGAGTATTTTGAACGGCCCATGATGGAATTGAGCCTTGAAGGCTTGGAAAGTTCGAAGTTTTGACTGGTAAAGCCTTTGACTATTTAACAAGATTCCCCTTTTGGGGATGTCTGCCCAGGCGTCGCCAAGGAGATTCCATCGGGACTGCCCACGTCTCTCCCACCTGCCCACCACAGGCCGCGGCCGCCGCGGCAGCACGGGCCTCAACAGGGTTGCTCGCCTTTTGTTTGGACGCCTAGGGATCTAGGTGGGTACAGTCTTGAGGGGAGCCCTGTGAAGAACAGGAAACGGCCCGGAGGTTTTCCGTCAAGCAGATTGTAAAGCACTTGTCACTTCTATGCAATAATAATAATAATGGTTTTGAAAAAGAATTACATACATCCCCTCTTCCAAAGAAAAAGAATTACATACATCCCCTCTTCCAAAGAGCAAGCGCTCTTCTCGAAACTTTGACGCCTATCTGCAGTATATCTAATTAATCAGTACAGGTGGCATATTCAGCCACACAACCCCAGCTCCCGAGCTGCCAACATCTCCCCTTGCAGGACCAGGAACATGCCGCATCGGAGGCATCGGCTCCCACCTTGGCTCCACCGGCATGGAACGCTCCGTGTTGGGAGCCGAGTCATCGACATGGTCTGCGTGGAGTCGCCACCAGCCAAAAAGGTCTTTGTCTGCAAACATCAGTGAACTTCTGTCGCACGCATGGAACTTGCCACCTATGGAGAGAGGAATTCTGTTGTGATCTGCCAGGCCGAAGCATCCCGTTCTGGAAACCGAGCTCCCAGGCGTCCCCGTCTGTGGAGAGAAGCATTCCACGGTGTTGAGGCATTGGGACTCGGCATTGACACCGCCCAGCACATAGATCCTGCGAGTTGGAACATCCATGGACATCCACTGCGAGTCGGTGGGGATCAGGTGATGCATCTTCCGAAGTGCATTTCCCTGCCCCTAGCCATGATGACAGCAGGAGACTCCTTCATCAAATCGTATTTCATGTGTTGACAGACGTTGTTTATGTTGTTTTACTAACAAACCCACAGCCCATAGCTTTGATGGACACCCGCTCAACCCATGTAAACACACCACCCATAAGGGTCGGTCTGTTGACCTCACACCTTTTTTCCCACTCCACCGAGCTGCACCCGGGGGCTCCCCACATGCTGTTGGCCGCCACCGCGGCGCAGCTTTCCCGCGGTTCCGCCAAGGGGGACACCGTCTCCCAGACCTTGGCCCGGCGCGCCCGGATGGAGAACCCAGCACCTGTCGGTCGGTCAGGAGGCGATCCAAGGGACGCAGCTCTTGGAGTCGAACTTCTCCACCGAGCTCAAGGTTTCGGCCTCGGACACAGAGGTCACATCACCGCAGCGGCGGATCATCGGCAAATCACCGGAAGGACGGACCCCTTTCATCAAAAGGCTGACTCACCTCAAGGTTGGCCACTCAACGGAAATCACTGACGCTGTGCAGGCGAATGTGTGAAGTTCCCGAGGCCACGGCCCCAGAGTCGGCGCCGCCAATGGCGTAGACCTACCCCAGCTTTGGAGCAAAAGAAGCTCGGCTCAAAAGCGGAACCGGCCAGCTTTCCAGCAAACGAACCCTGCCTGAGACGGGAAAAGAGCTGGGAACTCCGAGAGCATGCTGCCTGAGCCACGCAGGCAAGGGTGGACTAGGTCCAAGTTTACATGTTCGTGAGGGATGCGCAAAGCATCACAAAACCATGGTAGAGGTCTCCATTTTCTGCCCACCAACTGGAAAACTGCAGCGTGCAGTGGTAGAACCTGACAGAGCTCCCCAGGCGTCCCTGCCCACTCCAGCCCGCAAAGCCCGGCTGGCCGCCGCCAGGGGCGCCACGCTGGCAGCCTGGGCTGGACATGGATTGCAGCTGCAAAACCCAGATATATTGCCTCCGCTGTCCGAGGATTGAAAAGTCTTCAGACATCTTCAGGCGCAGTCCATCCTGTACGGAGGCCTGTCAGTCCATCCCGTCCATCCTGTTCCCCATCCTTCTGTGATACCACCTATTTTGGCGACTGTTGCCCTGTGTCCATGCTGATGTCCAGCAACAGGGCTGTAAAAATCAAAGGAGAGAACAGAATCAGAATACAGCTTGTCAATTTCTCTGAGAGCATGAGCTTGGCAGTGGCATCAAGAAAAGGAAAGACCAATGGAACTTGCGCACTGGCCGCCAATTCCATCCGAACCGTCAAGGCCCCTACCCCAGCACTGGCAGCTGTGGCTAATGCCAGCTCCTGCAGTAAATGAATCAGTTGCTCGCTGCAACATAACCATCTGAGTGACTTCAATGAGTAAAGCCAGATAAGTCAATTCCGAGATTCGACATCCTTTTGTTGCATTTTGTTGCCAGAGTCTTGCTCAATGAGCGGCACTGAAAAACTCGCAATCCAGAACCGGCACTCCCCCAAAGTTCCCAAATTCCGGCAACGATCTGCGGGGCCCGCGCCCGGATCTGCATCACGGCATCCAAGCTCCCAGGCCATGGCCCCGGGTGCCGCTTGATCACCTCGGCGAAGCGCCGGCGGTGCAAGCGCGCCAGGAAGCGCACCGGCGCCAAGGCGCCCGAGGCCTGGGCGAAGGCGAAAGGGTCCCTTTCGGACGAGTCGGGTTGGTTGGTTGCCGGACGAGGCAAAAGATGGGAAAAGTGTGAAGGACAAGAGATACGAAAGGAGAAGAAGAGAAAGGGCAGAGTTGGAAGATGGAAGTCGAATCTGAACTTCACTTTTAGGGGGAACATCGTTCTTGACAAGTCGAAGAGTGCGCAGACCGCAAGCATTCTCTCGCTTACACTCACCCCGGGGTTCGAGAAATCACATGATGTACCGCAGGTCCCAGCTGCCTTGCTGCTCGGAATGGAAGAATTCCCGGCGATTCCCACGGATTGCCACATTGACCGCCACTTCCCTGCCTCCAAACACTCGCGCAGCGCCTCACCCTCTTCCCGCAGCTGGACCTGCCTCTCAGCGAAGCACGTGAGAGTTCAAAAAACTGGCACCTGCGTCAAACAGTAAAATCAAGACAGCATAACAACAGAGAGGATGCAAGCATCGACAGAAAATATATCAGTTGAAGGAAAGCCCTGACCCCTCTGCGCAAACGTTGGCCAAGAACAGAAGTAGCAAGTCCAGCTTTTGAGCACCAAGAAATGCGCTGGAAACACGTTAAAGGCACCAGACACATCGCAAATCATCGCAGCATCACTTGCTTTAAGTAGAAGTGCTGAGGAAATCCAAACACTTTCGACATCATCTCAGTCATCTCAGCTTAAAGACTCGAGCGTTTCAACTGTGCCTGCGAGAGAGGATGGACATCTGAGCCTGTTGGCCTCGCACCTCGGTGCTCCCGAACGCAAGACGCTCTTCGTAGCCATTGGCAGGTGGATTTGGGGGGTCCAACGTTCTCCAGCTGAAGGCCCTTCGTCACACCACCCAATATCCCATGTCCTATCATTGGATACTCTAGCACCACTAAGCAAGCTCTCCAGAAAACATCTCCTGTCTCGCACACCATTACCGACACTGGGTGGCCCTCACAGTTGCTTTCAACTCTTCTATGGCTTGCATCCTTGGCATCAAAGGGCACAGGTGGAGCACAGGGCATTGTTATATAGTTGCAAGCAGTGTTGAGTTATTCAATCCGACGAAAACGACCTGGTACGCCAAAGGTTGTGATGGTGTTGGAGTTCTATTTCTCCCATTTTTGGCTCTTCTCTAATCCCTACGGACTGAAATCTGTTGTCTATTGAGAACTGAGGTCAATCCCAAGGAAGTGTTCTGAAAACTTCCCGCCCCACCTCGTTTGTCGCTGCTTCCGCACGCCGGTCCATGATCCTTTCGGCCTGGGGAGCCCAAAAAAACACATCACTTGGAGACTTGGATACGAACTGTCTTCCTTTTGAACCATGTGACTCAGCATTGTTTCTTCCCCAAACTGAAAGGGAACGGGCTGGTCTTCTTCCATCTTGGCAAGAACAAACTTCTGAGCCACTCAAAGCTGAAAGACTGAAGACTTCCTGAAAGACCCACCAGCCTCATGAGCACCGGCAGCCTGGTGCAAAAAAGGAAAGTGTCCACTCCACATGCTTTGGAAACCAAATCTCCATCACTAGCAGAACTCTTCAGGTTCCAGGAAATCAACTTCGATCATTCCCCAGCCCAGCAGATGTACATGAAAACTTGGTCATCCTGTATCATCCTGCAGCTGCCCTCATCTTTACAGTGCCAGAATTGCTGCTCCAACGTCTCTGTCTGACAGCTTCCACCGAAAAAGCAACCTTGGTCGGATGCCGCTGTACTTGCCAAAGCCAGCGCTGTCAGCAATCCTGCCCTGGATCTGCCAACCTTCAACACCCAAGGAAATAGTAACTGCGGCAAGGATCCTACTCAGCCTCGAAGCATCCAAGAACAACCCGGTAACCTTGCAGTGCGAGTAGTCCTCTGCGTGATTTTCAAACAAAAAAACGGCCACAGCCTGCCACAGTTGAACGGCACTCTGCACTCTTGTCAAAAGAAATCTGCCATTATGTTCTGTGATGTTGAACGTACCTGAAGTTTCCACTTGATCCCGAAAGGCTTGGAAGTCGCATCATTCACGACCCCGACGAATCCCCCATGTTTGGATGTTTGGTCTCGATCTTCCCGCCTGGCCCTCTTCACCGTGGCTACAAGGTTCTTTGCCCACCACCGTGAGGCAACCCGGCGCGTCTTTGGTTTTCAGGTGAGAAACGGTGAAAAGATATTTGCAGAGCAAATTCTCGACATGTGCAGGTGCATAGATATGTGATGTATTAATACTATATAATACTATGTATACACACATGAATTTTTTGTATGTGGTGAGTGTTGTGTAAAATATTGTAAAATACTTTCCGGATCATTTTGCAACAAGTGATCATCTTCTCCAACTTGATCCGTGCGCCAGAACAAAGCTGCTCCCCAAGAAGTTGATGGCGTTGTGACAATCAAGGCTTTGATTCCGATGCAAAATGAATGCCTCAGAAACGTCAGAGCCAAAAGAGAAATCTATGTCGATACCAATGGCATCTCTTCGATCCATTAAACAACATACACCTTGTAAGGGTATATTTATTGTTGAAGGACGGCTTTGGTTGCAACACCAAGCCGGAACCGACATGCCCGAAGCCCCGAAGTGTCCGCACGTCTGCATGCCCAATTTTGAATCACCTGCAGAGCACCTGCAAGACTCACCTGCAAAGCACCTGGCTCGCTCAATCTCAACATGACTGACACCAGGACAAACTGTGAGTGGCCAGTTGTGGAAATCATACAAAAAGATACAAGAAGGCAATATGCTTGGCTGACAAAGCTCACCTAGGCCAAGAAGTTGAAAAATGCTGGGTGAAAAAATATATAATAATATGTGTATATAACTCTTCAGCTCTTGCGGGTTTTTTCTCACATGCTATGCTGGTTGGTGCACAGTGCCGCGTCAGCGGCTTCTAGGAGCGGTTTGAGGAAGCGCGCGGGTGGGTGGTCTGTGGGCAAGGCTTTGAGCCCACCATTCAGAGTTAAAAGGCTACTCTTCAGCTCTTGCGGGTTTTTTCTCACATGCTATGCTGGTTGGTGCACAGTGCCGCGTCAGCGGCTTCTCCATCACCCATTCGTTGCCTCCTAAGGACTTCAGCTCAAAGTCACGCGCAGCTTTCTCAAACAGAACAGGCCATGCCGAGTCTGGAATGGCTGCTCTGCGCCACCGTAGGGCTAGTTGGAGAGCCCACGGAAAAAGTGCCACACCTTGGAGAAACTTCGACTTCACCTTTGCAGGGAGGTGTGGGAGGAACTGCACCGCCCACGCCTCCTGCACGTAGATTTCCATGATTTTGGTGGGGATCCACCTGCCCCTTCGTCTTGTCAGCTCGCTGTCCTCGCTGGCCACGTCAATGCCCTTAGAGATGCCCTCTGGCAGCTCCAGCAGCGAGTTTGCTTTCAGCAGCTTCTGAAAGCGTCCTCTCATCGTCTGGCCGGACGCCGGCCATAGCTTTTGGCTCGGTGCCAAATGCGCAGAGGCGACTTCGATCACCTGGAGGAGCTGGGGGTGATCCAGCTTGGCAATCTGACGCCTGGCGCATCTGTATCTTGTCTTGGGTTCTGCTATTTGGAGGAGGGCGTAGTTGATGGAGTAGTCCACGTCGATCGGAAGGACCAAGTCCCGCCAACATGCACTCAGCACTTCTCCAATGCGAGTCACCCCGCCCCAGGAGAGGGCGACCACTCCAGCTTCCCTGCTCCATCCCCACATCCACGCCGAAGTGAGGAGCGACAGGAGCGCTTGCCATGGAAGAGCCAAGGAGTGGCTCGGGGGTTCCTGTCGGAGCCAGGCGTAGGCCAGGTCCCACGCCGGCTGCAAGCACCTCCTCAGTCGAGGTCTCCTGCTCTGGACGGCGTTCACCGTCTCTGCGTAGTGGTTGTAAGGGCATCCTGCCCTGTATAGCTCACGGCCATACTGCTCTAGTAGAGTGTTCACTAGCTCTGCATCAGGGGTGGTGGTCATGAGGACTTCATGCGCTGAGACTCCTCTCGATCCCAGCCACTGTATGAAGCTGTCTAGCAGCTTGTCCCTTTGTCTCTGTGTCACCTCGAGCACCGGGCGGCCGAAAGGCAGCTCCAAGTCGCCTCGGTTTGCAGCTCTTTTCAGGTCTGCCCCGTCTTGGGGTTCCAGCTTTTCCATGGCTTGGCGCAACTACCGCGTACCCGCCAGGGGAGTGCGACCCAATGCGCAAGAGCCGAGTGAAGTGAGGTAGCAATTACTTAGAATGGAGGCGAGCTCTGGGATAGCACACGCCGGAGCAATGAAGTCCAGGGTGGGTCCAAATCCAAGCCCCTCGCCAGGAAATCCAAGCGTGGCGTCGAAGTCAATCGTATGGCCAACCCAGTTCGAAGCCCATCGGCTCAGGCTTGAGATCTTTGCCAACTGCAAGAGCTCCGTCAAACCTGTAGTTGTGCCCAGGAAGCTCCGTGTAGGAGGAGGAAAGTCATTGCCCCTTGTAGGATGGTCAGCAGGCAGCAACCGGGTAGGCCCAAAGTGGTGAGCAACATAAAGGCATCCTGCCACCAGAGTAGAGCCTGCCCTCCGTAGTGCCTTTCTGAGGCCATGAGATGGTGACCTCCCCTTTACCATTGCTGACAGGCCAACATTGGAGTCCATGCACAGGGAGAAGCGAGACTTGAGGCCAGAGGGGGTGAACGAAAGCTAGCCGGGCTTCCGGTGGTCTGCTGCTGGTGCTGCTGCTGCTGGTGCTGCTGCTGCCGCTGCTGCGCTGGGCGCTGCTGCGCTGGGTGCTCTGCAGGC